AAAAAAAAAATGGGGAAAAAAAAGACGAAAAAAGAAACAACTTTTATATATTGTGACTACAACAATTGTATGCCAAATGAAACATCAAACAGTATTGGTATTGTTGACAACAGTTATTCGCTATTTAGGCAACAAATTGAAACTTTCAATCTCTTTTTTTTTTCAGTTCAACAATAACAACAACAAAAAAAAATTAAAATTGTTACCTGTAGAATAGAAAAATAATGTGGTATTAAGTGATAACCAAATAAGTTAAGCAGAAAAATTTTAGCAAAAAAGAATAAGTATGTAAAGACAAAAAAAAAAAGGTAGTTGACTAATGATCGGCGCTGAGCTAACAACAAATATACGTTGAAGTCGCTACCTTTGATACTACTGCCGTTGCTATTACAGCTACGAAGCTACTGCTTTTGCAACTGATACGTGTTGGTATTTACCGACAAATTGGATAACGTCTCAATTTGACAATCAAACAATACAAAAACAACAGTTTTAATCAAACTTCAAACATACAAATAATAATTAGTTTTTTTTTTTCCCACAGCAAACTATTGTATAAATAATGTATCAATAGCGTAAACACAGATCAAGGTCAAACTATACTTTTTGGTTTTTTTTCAGTATACCTGGTTACCATAATAGATACAAATAATTCTAAATTAAAAAAAAAAGACTATAAGAAAAGAAAAAAGCAGAAAAAAAAATAAAATAAACAAACTTTAAACAGTAACAAAACAATTGATCAAATTTATAAGTAGCAGGAAAATTCTACTAAAAATGTGTATATATTTGGTTTTATTATCAAAGACAAAAAGAAAAACAATTCTATTAGCTTATAGACTGGACTTCATTCAACATGGAAGAACCTTAAATAATATCACCAGGTCAGCATATAATATTTATATTTTTCTGTACTACCCTCTTTTTTTCTCGTCTCTTCTAAACCTTATGTACAGTTTTACTCCAAAATCCATTATTGGTTTTGCAGTAGTAACTGTTGCAGTAACAAACTGGTATTAATTTTACTGTAAAAAAAAAAGACAGTTTATTTCAATACTACTTAAATGCCAACAGAAAAAAAGACGGATGTATAAAAAAAAAATTTGAAATTGAAAAGATGAAAAAAAAAACGAACGATAACAAACGAATTATAGACTTGTAAAAAAAAATCGTGTAGAATAGCAATGTCAAAAAAAAAAACCTAGTAAAAAAACTTTTTTTCTTTGCAGTACTTATAGAATTGGTGTACATATTAAATTACCAAAATAGTATGAGAAAGAAAAGCTTTTTTTTTTTTTTGTCAACTATGATGTTACTTTTCCGTTGTGAGATATCCCGGGTGATAGATGGATGGATGAATGACAGAGGGACAATTTGTTGTAAGCTGTTGCATCGATAAACCGACAACAGAAAAGTTGGAGCACTAAGGACGCTGGCAATGGGACACTGACAAACGATGGTTGCAGAGGGCGACAGAGAGGGACAGAAGGAGGAAGAGGGAGAGAGAGAGAGAGACAGGGAGAGAGAGAGAGAGGAAGAAAAGAGGTGACAGAATTTGTGAATTGTATAAATGAGTATCGGAATGTGTGTGTGTGTGTGTGTGTATGTGACATGGCAAATAAGTGAATATACAACCGGCTGAATGAGTGAACAAATGAATTGTTGAGTAGAACTATCGACTGTGGCTGGCTAACAATGGGTTAATATTTTTCT